GAAATGATCTGTCGGCCCGCCTTCCGGACTAGCCAGTTTTACACTTCGGAGAGCCTGTGCCGATGTCCCACCGATGATGTACTCCGGCACACACCCAGATGATAAATAGCAAAGAAGTCCAGACATAGCAAACTCCTTGAAACACTCCGTTTCAAAGACTCGTATCTAGTCCCACCTGTTACTATTCGCATCCGTCCTTACTTCCCGTCTCCCCGTGATACATCTACCGAAAGGTTCCATCGCTCGGCCTTCTAGAAGAGGCCCTAGTAGTAAACCCGAAACAAGTGCTCTTTCTGTAACCCAGAACACTGCATTGTATTGGTCTTTATACCTTCCGACTATCCATTTATTTGACTGGTTGCACACTACCTGCACAATTTCCACCGTGTTTTGTGTTAGGTTGCTTCGCACTTTCGCTGATTCGCTCTTCACTCCTTGTAGTTCTTGCAATAGAGGTGGAGTCTAGTTACTTCTATTTTCGCTACAGTTATGTGTTCGCCACGTCTCTTACGTGTCACCGGGTCCGACGAATATTCGAGGTGCATTCAACAACACAAGCACGAAGATGTAGTGGATTCAGGTAATTCGAACTAGTTAATCAAACAATCTACGGTATGAGTATAGCAAAGTATAATAATTCAAAAAAAGATTTAGTATCACGGAATAGTCAGGCATTAGAAGTAAGCAAAAAATTCCAAGAACGTCGCTGACTACTTGACGCTGCCATGTACGATAGAACCTCTAAACGTTGAAGTGGATGGTGTCGGAGCTTTCATTTAAGAAGTGGAAACGCGTCAAGCCTTCACAACCAGGTTTTAGGCTTATTCATGATATGTTGTCATCTCACCGAATATTTGCGTTGTAGTTTCTCTAAACAAATGCAGTCCTATCAGATAACACACGAGACGCCGGTCAGTTAACGGTATATGAAAGAGAAGAGCACGCCAGAAAGGACAGTTCGAGTATATCCTAGTGTGGACTCGGGCGCATTGTTGGTAAATGATCAACTCGACACTCATACTGGGTATACAAAAGACCACAAAGGCATAGCTGGCTGAACATACATTGTTATGTTAGACAAAATGAAAGCAGAGGGATGTGCGTTCGAGGCTCTCCTCTCGATAGTTGGTTCTAAGTAGTGTTCCGCATGGGTTCGTCCTTGGTTCACTAGGTATGTTAATGACGTCTGAGGAGTTGGGAGTGTCGTCTCTCATGTTTGCAGATAACTTTAAGTTCTGTGGCACGGTCAGTGACCAGGGTGACTCCCAGATTCCGCAGAGTGCGCTTGATAGATTCTTGGATTGGTCCACTTTGTGGTAACGACCCATCAATCTTTCAAATTGCTCAGTTTCGCGTCTTGGTGGTCCATCAAAAACCTCTGTTTTTAGGGGGCAACAAAGTACCACGGGTATCCGAGCAAACCGACCCAAGTGTCACGTTGACATCGAATCGCAAGTCGAGAGCCAAATCCACAGACTGCTTACAAGGAATTCAGAATGTTGTGGGCGATCCTCAGATCATTTGGAATCCTAACGGGTGAAATGTTTGTCAAACTACAGGGTTTTCATCAAACCCTACTTAGAGTACTGCGTTTAAGTCTGCCCACTTGCTTAGTGAAGAACTAGATTGTAATGGATCGGGTTTTGAGGGTTTGCACCAAGATGGCGTGTGCCATATCCTGAGAGATTACTTAGTCTGGGTCAGTTTTCCCGTACTATCGGCGTCACCAGGGTGATGTAATCCTTAACTATCGTATCTTATCGGGTCACATTGGTCAGGACTTTGCCTTTTGGCTTGAATGCCGACTCTTCGTGGGCATCTAAAAAAGCTTCACAAGCCTCGATCAAATCAGGTGGGAGCTGATGTCCGATTATCGTGTAGGGTAATTGATTCTTGGAATGCCCCGCCTGAGGACGTATTGTTGGCACAGACGGTTAAGGGGTTTGAACACAGACTTGGCGCCCTCGGTTTGCAGCTATAACTCTTCCCCTTCACATCACTGCCCGAAATACGATAGCCATTTCTGTAAGCTTGTCTTGATTTCCCAGTTCATGTTAGGTTATCTGTATTTTTCCTTGCCTTTCCATCCGTTTTGTTGTATTTCCATTTCACGTGACCGACACAGCAGGGACTGCTTATGCAGGACACGTGGGCATTGATTGGTTGACCGCGGCGTGACGCGCGTGCCGATGGTACACTCAGAAGGAAAATGGATTCGCTGAAATCCACCCCGGCTCAACGACGCTTGCAAAATGGAACATTCATGGGATGCACTTATTGTTCCCGTCCCACCTGAACTTGGCAATTTTACTGAAAACGTTTTGGCACTAGTCCAGGTGTCATCTTCAGTGTGATGATGGTTAATGGTATATTGCGGAGAAAAAAAAGCGGAAGTTTGACCTGTTCCACCAGATGATCGGTTAGGGGTGAGCAGCTGCGAGGTCAGCAGTAGTCTTTCGCTTAATAGACGGCGAAGAAGATAGTTGAGAGGGGCAAGAAACACAAGAAGGAGCACTGTTGACGAAAGGACAGGTAATACACTCCGGCTGCCTGTTGCGACAAAGGAGTTTTGTAAGAAGTGTCCTACCCCAACTGACTCAACAGCCTGACCTACAAGGCAGTGAAGTGCGTTGAGGTTAGCTTGAGGGACTCTACCCGCATCTGTTGGCTCAAGAGTCTGATATACAGGGTAGTGGGGAGCAAGTCCCGCTCAAGAGTGTGATTGCAGAGACCATTGTAATCTGCTTGAGGCCTGTCACACACAGTCTTTGAAGATGTAGAAAAATGCACTTGTGTTTCACAACCGCATCATGTTATAAGCACCTGCGACCATGGCCATCCGCATGCAGGAGTCAACGGGTTTGTACCAATTTGACCAGGGGCTGCCTGGTTTGAGGCAGGCAGTAGCAAACCATAGAACACCGTAAGGTACTTTCCCACCGTCAGAGACAATGCGTAGCGCTCGTGCACTCAAGAAATCAAGCTGTGGAATTACAACCAGTTGTCGCTCTTTGCTAGGTTTTAAGGGAAGAGGACTATCGACCTCTTCCTAATTTCCAAAGAGGACTGTGAGACTGAGTTAGTTTGACCCTTAATGATTTACCTGTGTGGTATGAGTGGCTTTGAAGACAATTGGAAAGTGCCACCCAAGGTAGCTCAAAGGGTAACGAAGGAACGCAAACCATCGAACTACGTTAAGGTTCAGACACGTTGCGATGGTTTCTTTATCCAACCCAATCCCGCTTAGCTTCCGCTCAAAACCCGATCTTGCCGCCAATGTCAATTTAACGTACAGCATAACAATGTATTTCTTGTAATTTTTACTTCATTTTTTACCAATCACCATCGGATTGAGCTGCACTGCGGCACAATAGCTGAGGTTTCGCTCACCTTTAGTTTATGTGTAGGATGAATGAATGGTCAACCGGGGAAGAAGAATACATCAGGATGAAAGAGAGACAGAGAAGCAAGACATGAGATTGATGATAAGGCTATGTTGGAGAGACAGCATTCAACAGATGCGCATTCCACGAGATGTATCTCAAGGATTTTCCTCAAATGATCCACAAAGCAATGGTGGCAAGCATGGCTTAGGAGTGCGGATGTCGTGTTCCATTGAGGTCGCAATGAGAATGGTCACAAGAAACCCCGAAGTTTGAATATAAACAATTCGTATTACAGTAGCCAGTCGTGGTTGAGTTTAAGCGGGTTTTCGCATTGCTAACCAAAGGGTGCATGATTTCAAGCAGGAGGCAGCAAATTTGCAAGTAGAGACAGTCTTCTCCCAACGTTAGAGACGATCCGTAATGAGCGGAGATAATCCGTACTCCGCTACACTCCATGGCTCAGTTTCTAAGGAGGGAGCCATAGACCTTCCCTAAATTCCGATGAAGAGAATGTGCAGGTAAAATTTGAGTGACCACATTGTCATTGGTCTGACTAGTAGCGGTAGCTCAGGGGATCACGGAGGAGCGCAAACCATTGTATCCGACGCAGGGCGGCGGATAGTGCCGGCAAGTTGGATATCTACGATGTGCCGGTCGATAAGAAAATAGTGAGCGTCGTAACCGATTTCAGCAAAGATGCGAGGAACGCGTTTTGAGCACTCCACTTTGAGATGTGCTGGACAGTCAGATGATCAAAGCAACCAATGCATTGTAAACTGCAAGCCATCGCAGGAGAAAAAGCGTTGCAAATCAAAACCGAGGGAGTTGCGAACGATGTCTGAAAGATATTTGGGGGCTGTAGATGAGCCCGTAGCGATGGGATCAGGCGAGTAGCTAAGGAAAATCCAGTACAGGGTACAACAGATGTAGCATGTCTATAATAGAACTCCGAGGAACCCATACAGTATCGTTAGTGTCGTCGTTTTAAATTCAACAGGTACACCAAGGAGAGAACGAACACAGAAACAAATTGTCCCTTTTGGACCATTAGAACATCTAAAACTAGAAAGCGTGCAAAAATCCACTGGAATACTGAGGCCTACCACGCAAAATGAGCTTTCCGAAGGCATGGGTACAGAAATGAACGAGTTTAATACCTTTGGACCAAACAGATAACCATGACAATTTGGTAGGGATAGGACGCAGTTGTCTTTTGACCACGGGTAGCACTCGAGACGATGACGTGATAAAGACGCATGGGTCAAGTAATTGGAAGGCCGAGCCAGGTGTAGACACCGTCCTCTCTGATAGGGTATTCGGTTAGAGATTTTAAAGGACATCGACCTGTCGAAAATTCAATTGACCACTTGCGCTGGGCACTCTGCTGATATTCGAGGAAAAGGTTTGTGCTTGGGCCTATTCGACTAAAGTTGTTATCCTTATCTTAGGCGACCTTGAAGGGGATTAACGAAATGCGCACCACTGAAAAACTCCAATTAGACGAAACGGACGCCTGGTGTTTTTCCGGATTGGTAGTTGGCCTATCGGGCTTGTAATCGAATTGCGATGGAATAAATAAAACTTAACAAACCCCGTTACTCATGAGTAGACTCAATGATATCTAACTTTTTTGTCAAAGCAGGCGATCTGACTGTATCTCAATGATCGGATCAGAAATGTACAAGTGACCCGTAGGACTGAGAGGGACGTATTCCTGGTTTAAAAACAAAGGTAGGACAGAGAAAATCCGAAACTCAGTTTAAGCAATATCCTCTTCATTGTACAAGTTATCTGCAGGTGAGAAAGACCTCGGCTATTGTGCCGCAAATAGTTTTGATTGCAACTGAGATTGAAGAACGGGATCCACATGAATCCGAAACAAGGCGTCCGAAAAAGCTGGGCCGCCAACGCATGATTCCCAGAGTGAAAGTTCCTGCTTGAAGTGCTTCATAAGGCCTGAATTTGTAGCCAACTCCTCCGGATGGGGAAAACAGGATGTGCTAGAATAACTTGGCTGTCCGGGATCCTTATCGAAAAGAACCTGAAACAGGTATCATAAAGAAAAGAACATGATGCTAATATTCTGCCACTGTTCCGAATAGCTTTGCTTTCAAATGGCATGATGAAAAGAGTAGTAAAGCTGGCGAAAAAATGGACAACACATTGCATACTAGGTCGGCAGTGATCGTCAGCTCACAAGTTCATCAGCTAGCACGTTAGTATGCTGACCAATAACAATGGTACTGCGTGAGTGTCAAAATTGAATAAGTTAATTGAAGAATCAAAAAACAATTCTAGTAAGGAGTCTGAGCTAGTGAAGTAAAATTGAAATTAAAGAAATGTGCTTCGAGGAAAAGCAGTGAATTTCCGGCTGCTAGCTGCGTTTTACGTCACCAAATGCAAACATTCGATGTAAGGTGCAAAGGGATACTACAGTTCCAATGGAGAGTTAAGTGGAGTGGATTTTACAGTTGACCGGTCAGCTAAATCGCCCCATTTGTCAGGCATCATGTGAGGAGAACTGGATGAATAAACGACACTTTGCAGCACATTGGACCACAGCATAATCGAATCCAAACCGTAACACCACACAGTCTCAAGCGACATGAAATGTGATGCAGCGAAATTTCGATGAGTTTTGTCGTCGCCGGAGAGCATATCGAGCATGTCATCGTTCCAAAATGCAGCGGGTTCCAAGTTGCAATTGATGGATGAAGCATGTAGCATATACACATTGGAGTTCCGGCTCTCGAATGTTGCCTCCATGAAAAGCAGGGATTCGCATGCAGTACGAAACAGTTGTACACACAAACTTAAAACCGTTAATGTGGGTCAGAGATGTCCATCTTCAGTGATATTGGTTTTTTAAATTATTGACCAGAACGTGTACTAGCCATCCTCCTTCTAGCTGGCGGAAAGGAACTGATCAGCAATGTACATCAAGAACCGCTTCGATAACCGTGAAGGGTGAGATAAGGTTGTTTAAATAAATAAATGAATAAAATTCCTGACGGGGGGGGAGACGTTCTGTTTTGTGGAACCATTATTTGTACAGCGAGTTTCGTCAACATTTTAGGTATGAACTTGCAATGTTTTACGGAGTACGTAATAAGTACATTATTGGTAATCAGTTTCGTCCTATGCTTTTCTAGCCGGATTCCAAAAGTGCACTAATAGATTGCTGAATGTGGAGAAGTCTGACCACGTTTGGAATAAAAAGTTGTTAAATGAGATCCAATTATAGATATACTTTCACGGGTGTTTAACTACAAAAGCCAGTTATTAACAGATGGGCGCAGTTCACCAGGAAGAAACGGGAGCGAGTATCTTATTTGGTCTCCGATGGCTGGGCTGCGCTGAGCAGGCCAGCAAACCGACTCTCGTGACGTGCATTGTTTGTGTGAGCGGGGTCTGGATGGAAGAGAAGGATCGGAGGCCAAGTAATGCAAGAGGAATGAAAACCCTCACTTCGTAGTTGGTGTCGGTTGGCGCATCTCGAATGCCAGCCTGGGATCCTAAGGACGATGACCACGTATGGTTAGACACACTTGCTGACACAGCAAAGAGTCGGCCCCAATGGCGCTCGCGCTGTGAGTTTCTTTGTTCATCCGTCTCCATTCACGATTTCATAGTAAATTACTAATATGATATTTAACATCATGGCGCTTGATTTTATGAATTTTTCGTAGCGTTATTCTTAGTACCTTATCTTTTTGCATTGCGGCACATTAGCTAAGGTGTGTTTCTCACCCGCACCTAATGTGTTTTGATGATGATGATAATTTCCGTAAAAATAGTAGGTATTTCGCATTACGAATGGGATAGGTTGACACATTTTGTAAACGGACAGCTGTACTGGTTGAAAAGACTCGCAAATACACTATACCGTAGAGAAAATTGTGAGATTGCTTATCATTCTTCGAAGCCAGAGTGGGTAAAGCTGGAGAGGTAGGCACCAAGCGATCATTTTGGTAAATGAGCGTTGGACGTGTATCAAAGCAATCCGAAATCTCTTGCATAGGTGGCTATGTACGACAGTGCAGTGTACTCTAGACTGCGTAGCACTATGAGCTGGAATAATTCAAACCGTGTTTGGGACAGTGAAAATGACCAAGTAACGTAGCTTTTCAGTTGTCGCATTTTAGCTACTTGATGTGGGATATATTCGGAGATGTTGAAGCTGCAAGAGTATCAAACTTCCAAATTCCGAACGGAATACGCGATAAGGATGGGAGCATCAGCAGAAGTAATGAATCTTTCTGATTTATTGCACCTGTGGCACAGTATCTGAAATTTATCTGCAGAAAATCTCCTTGATCTGCTTTCGCTCTATTTTTAAAGGATGATAAGTCCTCGCGTATATATTTTGGGCAGAAATAAGTAAACCAATTTAATGTCAACTGAAATAAAATTGTGAGCCCGTGTCTAATGCAATCAAAAATGTGGTTTATGTAAATGAGGAAAAGCAATGGGCCCAATACATTGCCCTGAACGACAGCAACAGTGATATTTTCCGTAGCAGAACGGTGTTGATCAACATGTACACTTTGTGTTCGGTAGTACAATTTGAGTCGAACCAACTCAACGGAGGATTGCTGATTCCATAGAACTCAAGTACGGTCAACACTGGTTTGTGAGGTACACAGTGTCGCAGAACTCGGTCGTTCATGGACAAACGGTTTATTCGGCAAGACGAAGCTCAGCAAAAACGACAGGCTGACAAGCATGTAGGAATTTCAATACAAATAATCAAGTCATTTCCATAACTAAATACGTTGCTTGATCCGTGAGATTCTTCCTTTGAATCAGTTAAACAAACTCCAGCGAACCAATCAGCAAGTAGGCGAAATATGCACAGGGGTTCAATCAACTGCTCCTTTTGCTTGCGGCAAGCTAGCCGCTTGCTTGCACAAATACTTGCAAGTGTTTTTTACATACCCAGACGGATGATGATGAACTTACTCAGAGCTCAAATGAATTTCGCTGAAAGTCATTACCTGTGATGTTGGTAGGCTCACACTCCTTCGCTGAGAGGTGAAATTTACGACGTTAAAGTTGTTAACCCTTTCTGCCCAGGTGATTCCATTTGGAATCATCAGTGTTTTTAGCTTCTTCACCGTACGGCGTAGTTACGGGACCTAGCCGATAGGTAGTGGCGGTTTCCCGTTTCAGTACGAAGTAGAGCGCGAATGGAGATTTCTTTTGTTTGCTGTCGTACAGAGTGCGTTGCGTCTATCCGGCCCCTTGGAACTGTCCAAAATTATTCCAGACATGTGTTTTACATAAAAATCTTGTCAACTTCAGTTTTTTATTACTTATATAAATGAAGAATAAGCGTCTATTAGAAAATAGAACATAAGCCAACAAGTTGAGTACTTGTAAAAAATGTAGTGATTCCATTTGGAACCAATAGGTCATATACATGTGAGTGGGTGGAGCCTTATGTTTAGAAGGGACTTCATAGATATACATAGATAGATATAGATATATGTCTTATGCTGATTTCTATCGCTTGTCAAGTTTTTTAAGGGCGAAGTATATAATATATAGATTCTAAGTAGATATTGTATACGTGTTGTAAGATACTTAATTATTTATTAATTTGTGATATAAGATTTAGGCAGGTTTTAGATATTTTACGAGCTCTTTTCTGTCACAATATAATATTACTTTTAGATCTTTTCACTTTTAGCATATGTCAAGGCGCTTTCTCTCGAACAAGCCTTGATATTCCTAGAGGGTGATATGTCAGATGTCTACGATGATGACATTCAGATGAGGAGGTGGCATTGGCAGCAGCTATTCGGGGCAGAGTTTTAGAAGATGGGGATGTTGCAACTGAGGCTAAGAATGCATACACCTACAACATTTTTGTGGAAATTCATTCGAGAAATGATGGTGAAAGTGAGGAAGAAGAGCAGAATGATAAAGATGATACATCCCTCAATGTGCGACTTGGAAGACAAAAAGAAGCCGATCCTCCAGTACATGAGATAAGGAATAAGTGTTAGCGATACAAAAATATGGAACCAGTACATGTGACGTATCATTTCGCATTTGCTGAACCTGCAACTGCAGACATGAGTCCACAGAATTACTTTGAAAAATTTATAGATGGCAGTATCCTTGAAAATTTGGTTGATCAAACAAACCTGGATTCCACACAAAAAACACAGAAGTCTATCAACACAACAGTGATTGAAATGCACCAATTTATTGGGATTCCTATTTTATAGGGAGCTGTTCATATGCGGAAATGTAAAATTTACCAAGCTGCTTCTAGACACTACGAGATTATTGAAACTACCGTGTCCCGTGATCGGTTCTGTAACCCGAGGAACTACTTGCACATCAAGAGCGATGATAATATGGATTCAAGAGAACATAATGGTTATGATAAAATGTTCAAAATCGGAAATTTTGTGGAATCTGAGAAAATTTTCTGAAAATTGTACCAGAGGAATATAATTCAGTGGATGAAGCCACTCAAGCCCCCCACTTCCATGCTAACAATATGTGAAGTGCAAACCACACCGCAAACTGTGTATCCAAAGTTACAGCAGAATAAAATGTGGAAAATGCAGTTTCACTCTGTTTGATCAAAGAGAAGAGCTGCTTCAAAGCTTTCCACATAGAATAATTTGAGATGCACTGTGAATCAATAACAAATTAATAAGCACTGTTTACTTTGCGTACTCTGTTTGCACCGCAAAGTTCCAATGACTCCACCTGGAATCATTTCATAATTCTTATAATTAAATACAGTATTCATAAAAATTCGCATATTCTTGTTTTCTTACATCGCAATAGAATATAAAAAATTTCCATTACACAAAATAATGCAGAGCTGAAAGGGTGAAATGGCTGCGAAAATGGCCTGTCTGATTACATTAGATGCAGTGTTGTTTTATTAAGAATAACGAAAATATTGCATATGCTCGGATACATGATCAGGTTCTTGCAATTCCATTTTTAGCAAGACATCCACGGTGTGAACAAAATGCAGGAAAAAGGAGTATTTAATTGTCAAGGATGTCACTAGTAAGCTGGAAGCTGTAAAACGTTCTTCGCATTCGGGTCACCGTAGCATGCACTATTGAGAGATTAGGGCAAAACATTCTTCCGTCGTCTATGCAGGGGATATATCAAAGTTCGCAGAACACTGACAGTGAACTAAAGTACATAGACTGAAACAATTCTGTCCATTTCATGTAAAGGATGACCTATAAAAATCGCGGTTATTGCACGGCAGTTAAAAAAAATTTTAGTAGCGAAAACATGTAATCGATCGATACATTCGGTCATTTCTCACTTATCATCGCAGCAACGCTTGCCAAGTATACGTCGACTTTTGAAAAACTCGATAACAACACAATAGGTCCTCATTTGGAAGCGGAAGTACAGTGACCAGTTGGTGGCGTGGTGTGAAACCGAATGGCAGGACAACTGATCTAAGGGCAGCTTCAGACAGAAGATTCTCTATTCGCCATCAAAGGTAGCAATGGCGAGAGAAACCACTGGCTAGAGGCACCATCAAGTACATCTTAAAATGCATTTCTATCACAGAGACCCAAAACATTGATTCCTATTTAGCCAATGCATCAACAGGGATCTTTCCGTGTTGCGAGTGAAGAGAACAGTCGAAATATTTGCTCTCTTTCTATGTTCATTAAGGGATCACAGAAACCAATGAAGATTGTGAGCCAAGTATTGTGCGAACATAGCTTACCAGGATGCAGAAATTAACAACGGGTTCCAGCCATCTGGAATGCACTGGATCCACAGAGGCCCACACATCCAAGTCCTCCGGGCGAGTAATGTGTCGGGCGCTATTCTGTACAGTGGTGGCGCAGTAGCGAAGAGCCAGCAAACAAGCAGCCGCAAAAGATCGCCGATCAATGGAACAGGATAAGGAGTCCGCGCGTGCCAACCAGCGATCCAAACAGGTCTCCACTAAAAGGCACATTTCTCGGGACTCCACGTTGGGTGGCCCAAGAGTACTAAGATTTACCTCGGATAAACTTTGATTGAATCGAGAATCCTGAACACCGGCGTTCGTGATAGCGAAGTGGAGTATGTGCAAAAAGGGCAACCTAAATTGGAAAAATGAAAGACTAAATATTTAAGTTGAGTTTACGCAACAGGTAATGAATGATATACACCGACAAATGCCAAGATGAGTCATTGAAATAGTAAGAAACAAGGATGCATAGACTTCAACGAATCACGGGCGATGTTGCTCTTCAGCAAAGCAAATATTCCCATTGCATTCACATGAATTAAGACCAGAAATCAGTTAAGGGTTAAGAATTCTTTTTGGTAAACTCTCGTCAGACTCAAACGTTTACATAACGCTGATTGTGTGGGGTAAGCGTCAAATCGGACTGGGATTGATTTCTAAGGTGTTTGAACGGTCAAAATCGATGACGAAAGGCGGCTACAGATGGCAAAAAGTGTACCAAAGGAACATTAATGCACAAGTCTAAAGTAAATAGGTAATGTCACAGAAGAGTAAATAAGTAACAATGCCATTAGGCTCCAAACTTTGGACTCCATGCGTGAAAATAGATTAGGCATCCTTAGAGGTGCAGTTTGAAAGCCTTATGGTACAGACCAGAGACCTGTTTCCAACATCTTTTGGTGACGTTAGGAACTTAAAATCTACTCTAGTGTATAGCTGTCATGAATGCGCTAAGACTAAACCATATATTAATGGTGTTATCTCAAGGGAGCAAATCCAGTCAGTTAAAGAGTTACGGTTAAATAACGAACTAGGGCAGATAAGGGAACCAGCATAGTGTTAATAGATTGGGTGAATTATATCTGTAAAATGTAACAAATCCTCAGAAATGAAAATAAATTCCAGAGCCTCCTGGCAGGAAAGAACACCACAGGGGAGTTAGAGAAACAGTTGACCGGCTGCCTCAGGCAAATGATGCAAGCCAACCTGATCACAAAGAACAGTTTCGAAAAGTTGGAGCCTTCAGGTGGACACCTACCGAGACTATTTGACCTTCCTAAGTTCACGAAGAAGGCGCCCCAATGTGTTCAATCATGGAGGTTGTGGGTTCTCTCCAGCATTTATTGGCCCAATGGATGGTGACAAAGCTGCAGCCGTTACGGAATATGGTTTGAACTTACTGCGTGACAGCACCTTTGAATTCATTACGGTGATATTTGGACTCAATTTTGCTAACAAAAGAATAATATCTTTTGATGCCCAGGCGTTGGTTACAAACATTCCAGTGCTCGAAACGGTCCATTACGTGCGCCAGCTGACCGGGCATCTGTCAACATATGGTACTTTTCCTGAGGAGTTGCTAAAGGAGACGCTACTTCGCAGCACATTAAATGCTCAATTCACGTTCAATAGTGAGATGGATGGTCAGATGGATGGATTGGTCATGGGATCTCCTTCGGGGCCGTTATAAAGTGATATCTTTATGGCGAAATGAGAACATGGCCCACTTAGGATGCACTTCCAAGGAACAGAAATGTACGTACGGCATGTCGATGACATCTTTGTACTTTGCGAATCCGAAAAGCATGCAGTACAGTTGCTGAGAGGCTTTAATGACGCACAGGAGAGTGTACGCTTCACCTGTGAGCACGAAAACGGAAACCTATGACCTTTCTTGGATGTAGAAATCATCCGCAACTCGGACGGCTCATGTAGCAGAAAGGTACAAATAAAGCATACGTGGACCGGGCAGTACACTAACTTTCATATCGCAGTGACGTTACAGCACAAGCGAAGGGCGCGCAGTATTTGCACTCCGGATACCGTCAACGAAGAGCTACAGAAAATCTGCGACGACCTGAGGGAAAATGGTTACCCTGATAAGTTTATCATGAAGCACCTGGAAGTGCGAAAGCGAAAGCCGCCCAGGAGCGTTGCCCCCAAGAAAGAGCTCTTCATACATTAGCCAGTTAAGGGCGATACTGCAGATGATATCTTATCTTGACGCCTGAAAGATGCTGTAGTGAAAACGTAGGCTACTGAGGTTAATGTATCAATGGTCTTTTGATGCACTTTTCTTACCATCGGTAGCCGTTTTTAGTCATCGAATTTAACCGTTCAAATACCTTAGAAATCAATCCCAGTCTGATTTGACGCTTACCGCACACAATCAGCGTTCTGTAGACGTTCGAGTATGCCGAGAGTTTGCCGCAAAGAATTCTTAACCCAGAACTGGTCCTTGTGAATGCATATACTACTTATGAGTATGGGGATTTTGTGATCGGCCGCAACATAGCGTAAGAGCAGTCTGGTGTTTCCCTCATTAGCGGTTGTAATATCCGGCTTGTGAACTGTAGGGAGGAATCAATGAAATTCATGGATTATCATAAGGAATGCAACCCTATTCACAAATCTTCATCTTGAACCAAATGAGAACTCGGCTGAGTCGAGCTGTTGTAAGTGAAGCGCAAAACGTGTACAGTAACTCGGTCATCACACGTCGAAGTGGGTATGAAAAGCACGGAAGATGGGAGGAGAAGTAATTGTAGAAGCGAATGACTGAGGGTGGGAAAGAGTAGAATAAACGCGAGAGCCAAGTCTGTGGTGTCAATAACGGGTATGGCGATACAGTTGCTAAGCTGAAAATGAATAAATATCCACGTCTTTCCCTACGCCTATTTAGAACGCCACAATATATACAAAGTGATACGTCTGAATTAGATGCCACCAGATGAGCTTCAATCTAGAGCAACCTGTTGATTCTGACTCGGGGAATCTGGGAAAGCACCCTAAAATTTAGCCCACGGAGATCGGCCTCCCTATTACCAGTACACCTTTGCAGCTCAATGATGAAAGACTGTTCCCGGTTAACCTTATTCAGATGTGGAAGAACAGCGATCTTCAAACCGTTCAGCCTACTCAGGCGGGCTTTTGTAGACCACAAAGACCCTCATTAGCCGACCTTGCTGGTCACGATTCATTCCAAGATGAATAATTTGCGTCACTTTCAGCCAGTCCTCACAGACATCGAGGAGTTGATCAAATAAACTGGAAAAGCTCGGTGTCGTTTCTGTCGCGCACATGGGGATTCAGGTCACTGAACTGGTGCGTGGATGAGTACCAGAGTAAAACGCCAATGGTTGACCGAGTTTGATCTTGCAGGGCAGGGATGCCCGAGCAGCATGTGACATGGCCAGTCGTTGACTTATAACATGAACTATTTATTCCTCTGCCTTTTTGTGCTTTCCATGGGTCTTCATTACCTAAGCTTTCACACAAAGAAACTTTAGTGCCTGTAAGACACAACACAGGTAAACGATATGTGCCAGGTGAAACTGGGCTACTCGCAACGGAGGGGCTATGTGTCGGTGAGTTGAAGCGGAGCAAGCAGTAAGGCTCACCTGGAATTTGGAGACGCCTCAGGTTAGCGGGTTGGGCAAAACACATGGGCTGCCCGTAACGGAATGGTGGTGGAACAAAAAACACTTTCCGTCCGTCTATCGTCACCACCACGTTATCGTTTTCGACCTTCAACCTGTCCCAGATCTTGAGGAGTTACTCCACCTCTTCCGATGTGGCCTCCGGTTTGGTGCCGGCCTGTAAGTGAGAGCACAACACATTCACGAATTCATCTGTCCTTTGATCTCTCAGCAGGTTTCTCTCCCCCATCGCGATCGCACGCACCGGTATGGCATTGTCTGGCATGATATCGTCCAAACACGGGCGTGACAACATATCTGGCAATACATTCTGCGTTCCATCCACATGCTCAATGGTGAAGTTGAATTCCTGCAACCGGTAGGCCCATCGCGCAAGCCGTCCCCGCGGGTCTTTCGCCGTCATCAACCACGAGAGCGGTTTGTGGTCAGTGACGACCCGGAATTCATTCGCCAGTAAGGAATTTCTCCACTTCTCTAACGCTCACATGATGGCCAAGCATTCTTTCTCCATTGTTGAATACTTCTGTTTCGCCCCCGTCAGCACTCTGCTCGCGTACTCCACCACCCCAGCCGATTGAGACAAAACCGCATCGATTGCCACGTTGCTTGCGTCGACAGCCACTGCGAACCTCTCACCAGGATTGGGTAGCCGTAGACATGTCGGGGCTTCTGCTATGCATGCCTTTAGATGGTCAAAGGCTTGATCCGCTTCGGCTGTCCACAAAATAATGTAAAAAATGTGTCAGCCTATACGCCGTAACGACGCTTCGCTGCCGCGCGACCACCACTAGTCGCGCGCAGGCTGAGCATACCGCGAGGACGCCCACCCCTAAGCGGATTCGAACCGGTGACCTTATGGTTGGATAGCAAACGTGCCGACCACTCGGCCACCGGCCGACACGAACGGCACGTCCTTGCGAAGCAGCTTTAACAACGGGCTGACTTTCTCTGCGAACTGGGGCACAAACTTTGAATCATATGCCACCACTCCCAAGAACGAACGGAGCTGACGCTTGGATTTTGGTTTCGCGAAGCACTTGATCGTCTCGCGTTTCTCCGGAAGTGGATGGACTTGACCATTGCCCACGATGTGACCCAAGCATACAATTGACTTTTGGGCAATCTGCGACTTTTTACGACTGAGTTTCAGACCAGCTTCGTCCAGTCTCTGCAGTACTGCTCCAAGTCTGGTCACATGTTCCTGTTCCGTCTCAGAGAAGACGATGATGTCATCACCATAAAAAATCACGTCTTGCAGGTTCGCCAGGACCATCAGCAACAAACGCCTGAATGTAGCTGGGGCGTTGCACAATCCAAACGGCATTCTCAAAAACTCATACTGCTGGCCATTGACACTGAAAGCCGTCTTGTGGCGATCGACTTCTGCGATCGGCAATTACCAATATCCCGAGCGGAGATCAATCAGAGATATCTGCTTGGCACTGTGAAGGCTTGAGAAAATTTCTTCCATCTGAGGCATCGGGAATGCATCCTTCACAGTCACCCTGTTTAGTTCTCTGAAATCGATGTAAAATCGATAGGTTCCGTCGGCCTTCTTCGTCAATAGCACGGGTGATGAATACGGGCTGTGCGTTCGCCTGATGATTCCTTTCGATTCCATCTCGGTCACCTGCTTCTGTATCTCCACCAGGGTGTTCTGTGGAATTCGTCTAAAGATTGGCTTGCATTGTCC